AGAGGACACATTCTGCACAAAGCCAGAACCCCTGAAAATAGTTGGGGGCGGTAGGTGAGAAGAGAGGTCAAATTCAGAATTCCAGGGCAACAAGATGGGGAATATGGGTCTGGGGCCCATCTCCTCATGTGGAGGATGGGCTCTACATCAGAAAAGCTTCTCCACCTCCCACCCTGGGGGGTTATTTGTACCAGCTCAGGTTATCACCATCTTTCTGCCCCATAATTCCAGGTAGTGGATTCCAGTCTAAGAATATCAAGCCAAAAGATTTTGGTGTTATAGCAGAAGCACTTGCAAGGATTGTTATAGCAGAGATGAAGTAACATTAAACCCCAAAGCAAGAACGTACTGCCCTTCAGAAATGAGAAAGCACAAAGGTGCAAATAGGGCGAGTGTGGAAAAATCCATGAAACGCGTTAACACAGGTGGGCGGGAAAGTGTGAGGGGTCATGGCCAAATAATCAACATGTGCTCCCCCACAGATACATACCCAGACTCTGCCCTCTCCCCTTCCCATGTCAGCTTTCCCTTGAGTCGCTAAATCAAACTAAGGTCATACCCTTTCCTTTACCTTCCTTCTCCCTTCTGAAGGGTGAGAGCCCTGGGAAAGGCAGGTGAACAATATCACGGTAGGGGGCGCCATGCTCTCCGGTACCCATGCAGCCAGCAACACCCTGGCTGCCTCGGATGTAGTAGAGCTTCTTTCCACTGTCACCCGCTTCCTTCTCCAAGCAGCCAAAGTTCTCCGAGCAGGTATCAACATGTATGCAAGCCTGCCTGTCAACTCGAATAATCAGTCCTAGTAACTCATTCAAAACCCGTTTACTAAGTATCTTCTCTGTAGATGACTGAGCCAAGTATGGAGATACAACGATAGATAAGACAGATGGTTCGTGTGTTCGTGGAGCACGTGATCTACTGAGGGAGATGGGTGATTAAAGAAGCAAGTTAATGGTGGGATGAAGGCCCATCTAAGGGAAACACAGCTGCTCTGGGACTCAAACAGGAGCACCCAACCGAATCAGAAGAAAGGATGATGGAGGAGGTCTGAGAAGGCTCACTAGGGGAAGTGATGTGTCCAAAGCAGAGGCACTCAAATATTGGGGCATCTCACAACTGCCAGGAGCACTATTCAAGAACACAGAGACTGGGGACACCTGGGTGGCTCAGTCGGTTAAGCGTCTGACTTTGGCTTAGGTCATGATCTCACAGTTCATGGGTTCGAGCCCTGCTTTGGGCTCAGAGACTGGAGCCTGCTTCGGATTCTGTGTCTCCCTCTCCCTCTGCCCCTCCCATCTTTCTCTCGACTCGTGCTCCATCTTTCTCTCAAAAAATGAATAAACATTTAAAAATGTAATAAAAAAATCAAATAAAAAGAACATAGTGGCTCATGGAAGCAGCATGGGGCTCAGGACTCTCGATTTTTTAACAAGGGGAACATAGAAAAGTTTGAGACCCACTTTCGTAAAGCAGGGGCCAGCAAGCTATTGTCTGGGAGCCAAATGTGGCTTGCCACCTGTCTTTCTAAATATACTTAGGCTTGTGCATTAAATATAGACTATGGCTGCCTTCCTGTTACAATGGCAGAGTAGTCATGGCAGAGACCACAAGGCCCACAAAGCCTAAAATATTTATTTTGAGAGAGATTGAAAGCATGAGTGGGTGAGGGGCAGAGAGAGAGAGAGAGAGAGAGAGAGAGAGAATCCCAAGCAGGCTCCACACTGTCAGTGCGGAGCACAATGTGGGGCTCAAACCGATGAACCGTGAGATCATGACCTGAGCTGAAATCAAGAGTCAGACACCTAACCAACTGAGCCACCCAGGTGCCGCCAAAGCCTAAAATATTTAACCCCTGGCCCTGAACAGAAAGTGTTTGCTGGACCCTGGTCTGAAGGAGGATTTGAAGGAATTTCTACAGCTGTAGGAATCAACTGACAAGCAACCAACTGACTTAGTCTCTGCCTTCAGACATTGTTCCTTCACTCATAGAAGCTCCTGTCTACCCCCGCCTTGGCACAGCCCTTGTCCCTCAGCAGTATCACTATCAATTTACATGTCCCTCTCCCCCTGGCCTGTGAGTGCCACATCTGCTTTATCTATTGTTATATTCCCAGCACCTAGTCTACTGCCTGATATACAATAAGTACTCGAAAATATTGTCTAGTGATTCATAGCTTCGTCTGTTGTGTAAGAGAAAGGAAGGAGACGGGGGTGGTAAGGGGAAGCGAGCTAATCTACTACGCTGGATGGCGACAAACCTGTGGTTGGTCTGTGTATGACGGATGAGCTCCTCCTGCTTCCAGAAGGCTGTGAGAGCAAGCACTATCTTTTCAGTGCTCAGAACACCTTGGGTTGGTGCCTCAAACCCAGTACTGTGTCTCATGGTGACCCTGGTAAGGTCAACACCTCAAAGCATCAGGCCTTCCTCTGAAGCAGCGAACAGGTTGCCCTTGGCAACCACCTGACCTTAAGTAGAGCAGATGCTGAAGTCCCAGACTTTAAATTCCTCACTTCTTAATACTGTCACCTCAAAAAAATGCCAGGATGTATTTTGTCCCTTGGTGGGATCCATATCTACCTTCTTCCTTTCCTTACCCACCTTCTTTTTCTGTCTCCTCAATTAGCAAGTCACTTTCTCACTAAGATTGGTATTTAAATATCTCCCACACCCAGATGACAGGCCCTAACTTACCACTTGTAAGGTAGTCTTAACTTGGCTGTTCTGTGTAAGAGGCGTAATGGGTGGAAATCGCTGCCTAACGTGGCTCTCCCTCTCCCTATAGGTGCAGCGTCAGGGGCCCTGGTGGTTCACGCACCTGGCTCCTCTACCACATAGAGAATGGACTTTCCACTGGAGTCTTCATAGTACTGGAATCTGACAACACAGTCATCTTCATTCTTGTACGTGCAGTTCACTGCATCCTTGCCAGTATCCTCTGAGGAAGGGGAAAATATGGGAGAGTGAAAAACAAGGCAATTCCTGGAAGACAGGGCCATCCCCAAACCCCAGTCATGGGACTTCTGAGAAAGTATGCAACAGGAAACCCTATGCCTGACATTAGGCAAGATGCCTAGATTTGAGATGGCTGTTGTGCCTGGCAATTGCCTCTAGATGACCCTCGCTGCTGAATTTTGTCCCTCCTGGACCCTTTTTGGTTCGTATTCCTTCCCTTGGAAGGGACATGACAGAACACATGATACAGTGTGATTCAAAGCCTGGCTCTACCACCTATCAGCTGCGTAATATTGGGGAAGTTACTTGACCTCACTGGCTCTTTCTTCATCTATGAAAGGAAAAGGATAGCCCACCTCACAACACTGGTAGAGAACTAAATGACGTCAAGTGAACAGTACCTAGTACAGAAGGGTGTTCCCTTCCCTCTCTTTCCTTTCCCTCCTGGCTCAACTATTCTCAATAGTTTGTTGGCAAAGCCCTTACATTTCTTCCGTTTCTGCCTCTGATCCAGTGTTCCTCTCCAGAGCCAGCCTCTCTTCTCTGACTCCCATCACTTTTTTGTAGGCTTCACCCCTTCTAATTCTGAAGCCTGTTATTCTGACAGGGAAACTATAGGTGCCCCTCTATCATTTGCACCACGTCCTATAGTGATGCAACCAGACAGGTAAAACTGACACACGATGACGTTAAGCAAATGCACCAAGGTCAACACAAGTACGTGATGGAACAGAACTAAAACAGGAGTCTCAGAGCACACCAGACTTGAACTCAATAAGCCTCCCGAAAACCAGTGGTATAAGAGTACAGTGGAAAGAGTAAGGATTTCCAGATTCAGTTCTAAGCTTAACTTGTTCGGGCAAGTTATGTAGCTTTCCTGAGATTCAGTTTCCTCATCTGCAAAATGAAGATAACAACAGTACCACAGTTCTACTCTACTAGGTGGCTGAGAAAAAGACAAGATCATGTGTATGAAAAGAGACTTGCCTAACTTTTATAAGTTACACAATTCCATACAAACAAGCATTTATCTTTATGATTATCATGGCACGGGGGTAGGGGGTAAGAGAAATACGTTCAACTAACCTGAGATTCCCCTCTGGTCTAGGTAATAAAAACATCTCACATCTCTCTCAGCAGTCTCGCCCACCTGAGCTAATCACAGCATACCGATTCTCCTCAGGAGGAAAAGCCGTCTCTTCAAACTCAATCCCCAAATCACGCCCCGCACCTCCCCCCCCCCCCCACCAGCCCCACTTCTGATATTAGCCAAAGGATCCAGAGAGCTGACCCTTTTCTGTAACACCCCCAGCCAGAAGCCGACTGACTGGCTGTGTCTCACTGTGGCTCTCACTGAAAACATGTTTCCTGCCTTCGTGAGAGACAGCTATCTCAGGAGAGATTGCCATCTCCCGAGACCAACCAATGCCTAGCTGACCCAGATAACCACATCAGATGTGCTGACAGCGACAAAGATTATCCCCTTTTCGGTCAAGGTGAAATTCAAACTAGAATGACTGCAGGCAAGAGTTTTGCTCACCATTATATTTTTATCTGCCTTATTCTAGGAAGGGCTCCAGAGAGCCGAAAAAGGCTACAGCATTGTGATTTTAGCGAAAATCCGTAAGGGTGAAGGTTTCCCTCCAAACCAGCAGAGCAGTATGCCTGGGCATTGCTTAACACTCTCAGTTAAGTAAACTCAGTAAATGGTTACTAGCCTCCTAAACTGACGTCACCTAGCCTAGGTTTCTTCATCCGTAAAATGGGATGCATTGTCTTCCTTTCCCTGGGGAGGTCAAGTTAGGGTTGATTTCTACATACTTTAAAAGTTGTCTGTAGGGTCTTGCTGAGTCTGTGGGTTCCAGGAAGCAGCAGAATGGGGAGGGACTGTGGAACAAATTAGCAGAGGGCACAAGAGGACTCAGGGAAGCTGGCCTTTATTAAGTGCCTCGTGTGCAGCAGGTCTGTACAACATGCCTTTGAGGCAGGGATTACTCTTCCATTTTACTGATGAGACATAGACACGTTCTGGGATCAACTGAAAACTTCAGCAGCCGCATATGTGCGCGATTCTAAGACATGCTGAACTTACTGAGCTCCTTCACAGACTGAATCTCATCACGACAGTAACGGCTGCAGGTATTTTCTTTACGTAGGTCTCCCCGGTCAAATTTCTTACACTCCACACACTCCCTAAAAGAGAGACGACACAGAGATTAAGACAAGGGAGGAGAGGGACGCCTGGGTGGCTCAGTCAGTTAAGCATCCGACTTCGGCTCAGGCCATGATCTCGCCGTCTTCGAGTTCGAGCCCCGCGAGTTCGAGCCCCGCGTCAGGCTCTGCGCTGACAGCTCGGAGTCTGTTTGAGATTCTATGTGTCCCTCTCTCTGCCCCTCCCCCAGTTGCACTCTGTCTCCCTCTCTCTCTCAAAAATAAATAAACAAAAAAGACGAGAGAGGAGCAAACCTACATGTGTGTCAGTCCAGCTCTGACCTCCACACACCAGAAAGCTGCCCCACCTCGGAAAACAAACACCGAAACAAAAACCCCTGTAAGGCAATTCTGGGGGACCCAGAGGGTCGGGTCTGGAGTTCAGGGGTGGGAGTTCCTCCTCACCCAGAGGCAGGGCCTGGCAGGCAGAAGGCCCCAGTCCCCTCATTAAACTTCTTCATGTCCCATCCGAGAGTGTGACAGGAGGTGAGGCATGTGCCACTTCCAGGAGCCTTAAAGGCAGAACCGGTCATGTAATCTGGGGACCCAGCACAAAAGAAGATGTCAGGTCCCTTGTTCAAAAATCCCTAAGCATTACAAGACAGTGCCGGCAGAGCGGTAAACCAAGCATGGGGCCCTTCTAAGCACAGGGCTCTGTACAAATGCACAGGTCGCATGCCTATGAGCCCAGCCCTGCTTAAAGTGGCAAGAGAAATGGCAGGAGCTTCCCCTGACCCCAGATGAGTGGAGTTTGTACTAGCGAACATCTCCTGTTTCACAGAATCCTTCATAACTCCAGCCCAACTCTCCCACAGGATCGGAACATGAGAACGTTCACCAGAAGTTCCCTGGTTTAGCCTTCCTCCCAACTCAGGGATTCAGGATGCCATCCCAGGAGAGGGGTTTCTCCAACTGGAGTCCAGCGGGTGCTACTTTGGCCCCTGCATGGTTGGCTCTACCTCCATCTTTGCCCAAACTTTTCCGTGGGAAGAGGAAAGCTAGCCTCTTAGCTGCAGCGGACGCCTCCTCCTGAAGCTTTGGTGAATAAGAACCTGGAGGGTTGGGGATTCTAGCCTGGGGGGCCCCCTCCCTCCTTCTAGCACCCGACTGGCTCCAACTCACTTCTCTGCCCACTCACTTCTTAAAGGTGCAGGCGTCAGGGCAGGTGGGGCACTTCTCACAGGTGTCCCCGTAGGAGCCGGGCTGGATGCACACGCAGCTGCCGCACTCACACTTGCCCCGGCCGCTGCACAGCAGCCCGTTGCTGGACATGCAGGTGTCGGTGCGCGTGGTGCAGTTGCAGTAGAAGCCGGTCCAGTCGGAGTCACACAGACAGTCCCCACAGCTGCACTGGCCGTGACCTGAAAGCACACAGCCCGAGGGGGCGGGCAGCAGGTGAGGGGCCCCAACCCGCGGCTCAGCCTGCTCTCCAGCTTTACCCTCATCCACCCTCCTCCCACGGCCACTCATTAACACCCCACGGAAGCGTCACCACCTTCTATCCTTCTAGCCTCATGCTGCTAGCTCTCTGCCTTGACGCCCTTTCGTCCTGTGATCGCTACCAAACTCCCACTTACCTTTCAAAGCTCAACTCAAAAGTTCCTTCCTCCCCATAACTTTTTCTGACCTCCCCAGAGCAAATTAACTGTCTACTACGTGTTCTCTCAGCACTTACATATACCTCTATCTTAACCCTCATGACCAGCCCATTTGCTTGCCTATCTGTTTCTCTTTCTAGATTTTGAGCTCCACAGTGAGAGAGGACATATCAATTTGTCCATCGGTAGGGATTAGCGTAACGCCTGAAATACAGTAGGCATGCAATTAATGTTTCTTTATCCATTTATGCAACAAATATTTATTGAGCTCACGCTGGGCACTGGAGATTTGGCAGTGAATGAGACAGGAAAGGTCCCTATTACCATGGAGCTTATGTCCTGGTTAAGTTCCTGGGTAGGGTGCCTGGTGGCTCAGTTGGTTAAGCATCTGACTCTTGATTTCAGCTCAGGTCATGATCTCACGGTTTGGTTAGTGAGGTCAAGCCCTGCGTCAGGCTCTGGGCTGACAGCCTGGAGCCTGCTTGGGATTCTCTCTCTCCCTCTCTCTCTCTCTCTCTCTCTCTCTCACAAAATAAGTAAATAAACATTAAAAAAGGAAAAAAAATCCTGGGAACCACATACACATTCACCAGCATGTGCCCTGTGTTGTATTATCACAGTACTGCAGAGAGCCATCAGCCCTAATAGGAAAGACCTACTCACTTTACTGCATGAATGTAGGAATGGGAAAGAGAGATTGGGGTGGGGGGTAGGTTGGTTAAATGCAGGTGTTAACTCTCAGTGCTACATCCCCCTAATCACTTAACAAGGCTTGAAAACTTGGCTCTCCCAAACTCAGAAGAAAAGGTGACTCATCCTCAAGGATGCCAAATCGGGAAGAAGTGGATGAATAATAAAAATCTGACTGTTAATCAGAGGAAAGGCAGGGAGCCAAGGGGAAGTAACCTCAACGGGTCTGAAAATCATGTCACTGTGTGAGCGGATGGGCCCCAAGATGGTGGAGAGCGAGGTGCATAGGCTCAAACAGACACTAGCTGGCATCTTCTGCTCCCCAGGGACCCCAGTGGGTCTGACTAGCGGCCCTTGGTCAATGAGTCTCTCTGCCAGTGATCCTAGCACCATCCTCTAGTAATACACTTGAATTGTACTTGAATTATACTTGAATACACTGGTATTCAAGACTCAGACACACCTTCGCTGCCTTGGAAAGAGATGTCTGCTTCTTTCTGGATGGTAAACATAAGGTCAGCTGCCCCAGCTCCAAATATCTGGAGAGTAGAGCCCGCTCCACCCGGAGGCAAAGGGAATGGTCTTGTGTAACCTTTGTCCACCAGTCATTGGCCAAGGTCTGAGGGCAAGACGGCTCCTGTCAGCTGAAGATAATTCCAAGCAAGGGGCAGCTGTGAGCCATTATCAGCAGCCCTAACAGCAGCTGGAGGGGCCCCACAGTGTCTACTACAAGCAGCTTTCAGTGGTGGCTCCCGAACAGGGCAAGGCAGACGCCACAGAGGTCTGGCTGCACCCGGAGGCCTCCGCCTCCTCAGAAACCCTTGTCCCATAGTGTTTCCTTTGTGAGGCCAAACAAAGTAACCTTTGAGAAGATGGTCTGCCAGGCCAGCCACGGAGCGAGGCTGGAAGTAGAGTGGCGGGCCGGAGCCGGCAGGCCGAGCCCCAGCCCTGGCAGGGTCAGCCCTCAGAAGGAAGCTACAGTGTAGTAATGTCACAGGACTGGCATCCCTCCAGCAAAAGGGTGGCTGAGCCTGGGTTCACAGCAAAGTCAGAGGAGGAGGGTGAGAAATGAAGAGAGAGTGTAAGAAAGAGGAGGGAAATAGAAAAGAAGGCAGCAGGGGAGGGGTGGAGATGAGGGAGGGGGAGGGGTAAGGGAGGAGCAAGTATTTTAGGTCAGAGGGAATGACCTCTCCCTATAGAGCGTGACCCCCAGGCAGATGCTCAGCCCCACTCCTCTCTGCCTTATGAGCCAACCCTTTATCTGACATCCTACTTCCTCCATGAAGCCACCCAGGCCTCCTCTGTCCACACTGAGTCTCTCTCCAGGAGACTCCTATAACATTCCCCAGGGACAACTCACTTCTTTTCTTTTTTTAATTTTTTTTTTAAATGTTTTATTTATTTTTGAGAGACAGAGAGACAGAGTGAGAGTGGGTGGAGAGGCAGAGAGAGGGGAAGACACAGAATCGGAAGCAGGCTCCAGGCTCTGAGCTGTCAACACAGAGCTCAATGCGGGGCTCAAACTCACAAACCACGAGATCATGACCTGAGCCGAAGTTGGACGCTTAACCAACTGAGCCACCAGGGCGCCCCAAGGACACCTCACTTCTAAGATCTGGCACGTTCTGCCTCATGTTGTGAATTATCCTCAGGTAAGTTAATTAAGGGCAAAACTGTCTTATTCATGCCTCCCTATCCCACAACACTACAGCACAGAACCTGGCTCAGGGGTGTCTGATCAATCTATGCTCATGGATGTGGTAGGCGGAAGAGTCCCTCGGGGAGAAGGATGCACTCCCTGATGTTTCCGACCAAGGTGCTGATAACAGATGACCACAAAAGACCATGCCTCCAGCGGGGAGGGGGAAGGCCAGAGGCTGAGGAAATGGCTAAGTCATAGCATGCCCCCCACGTGAGCCACTGCTTGCAGCAAAGAACAGACCAGGCCAGCAGCCCAGGGAAGAGACAATGGTGAACTGGTCTACAAACTGAGTGGTCAGGAATCACGCATGCCCCCTGTTCACCCGTGTGGACTGAGTGCCTGGCACAGAACAGGTGCTCAATAAGTGTGTGTCCCTGAGCATCCGTCACTGGGGAGTGTGACGGCGGCACCACAGGATCCAGACCTGCAGCCAGTAGGCACACAACACCCGGGCTGGCAGTGGGGGGAGGGAGGCCTCTGAGCGGCTACCTGGGGTTCCCTCGTGAACTGGGTGGAGCGCATTGCTGACGAGCTGTGCTTGCACCAGTGAGAGACAGGAAGCAGGCTGCTGAACCCGACGGCTTTGTTTCGCAGCATCGGTGGGGCCAGCAGCTGAAGGAAACACACTCTGCCCGCGGTCCCTCCCACCCAGCCTCATACCAGACCAGGAACCATGAGGCTTGGAGGAGAAGTGGCCCTCCCTCTGTCCCTGGTGCCCCCAAGGGACTATCTGTAGGCCTCACGTAGGACAACCCTCTTCCCCTCAGCCCCAGCCTACTCCCTGTGGTCTCCCACATCAAACTTACCATTCCTTTTGGTACTCTGAATATGATGTAAGTACTATTCACTAGTAGAATGAGCTGAAATTCCTCCCTCACCCTCTAATTCAAACTGCTGTGGGGGGTCCATGCCTGATCTCTTTCTCCCCTAATCTCCCTGCTACCATTTTTTTCCAATCTCTGTCAAATTTTGCTGACATGAATAAAGGAAACAATGTTGTAGATAATAAAAAGAAGTCTTTGGGGCGCCTGGGTGGCGCAGTCGGTTAAGCATCCGACTTCAGCCAGGTCACGATCTCGCGGTCCGGGAGGTCGAGCCCCGCGTCGGGCTCTGGGCTGATGGCTCAGAGCCTGGAGCCTGTTTCCAATTCTGTGTCTCCCTCTCTCTCTGCCCCTCGCCCGTTCATGCTGTCTCTCTCTGTCCCAAAAATAAAAATAAACGTTGAAAAAAAAAAATTTTTTTTTAAATAAATAAAAAGAAGTCTTTTTTATGTGACTTGGGCATGCTTTAGAATGACATAGATTTATGGGGCACCTGGGTGGCTCAGTCAGTTAAGCCTCCGACTTCAGCTCAGGTCATGATCTTATGGTTTGTGAGTTCGAGCCCCATGTCGGGCTCTGTGCTGACAGCTTAGAACCTGGAGCCCACTTCGGATTCTGTGTCTCCCTCTCTCTCTCTGTGCCCCTCCCTCACTCATGCTCTGTCTCTCTCTCTCTCTCTCTCTCAAGAATAAATAAACATTAAAAAAAATTTTTTTAAGTTTTTTTAGAATCAAATTGTTTTTTTAACATTTCTTATTGAGAGATAGAGACAGAGCATGGGCACAGGAGGAGCAGAGAGAGGGAGACACAGAATCTGAAGCAGGCTCCAGGCTCTGAGCAGTCAGCACAGAGCCCGACGCGGGGCTGAAACTCACAAACCGCAAGATCATGACCCGAGCTGAAGTAGGATGCTTAACCAACTGAGCCACCCAGGTGCCCCCTTTTTAATTTTTTTTAAAAGAATGACATAGATTTACCTTTCTAATCAAGCTTTCTTTTATATATATATATATATATATATATATATATTTTAAAGTTTATTTATTTGAGAGAGAGAGCGAGCTCAAGCAGGAGAGGGGCAGAGAGAAAGGGAGAGAGAATCCCAAGCAAGCTCCACAGTGTCACCGAGAAGCCCATCATGGGGCTTAAACTCACAAACCTTGAGATTGTGACCTGAGCCGAAATCAAGAGTCAGTTAACCATCTGAACCACACTGGCAGCCCTTTCTAATCAAGCTTTCTTAAAGACAGATGTTAAAGTGAACATCTGGTTGGATTAGTTCGGCTCCTTTAAGCCCCATTGCAAAGGAAGCCAATCTGCGCCATAGATTTGATCACCAAAGAAGCCAATTATAATCTGTGTTAATTCACCACACAATACACCCATAAACCAATCCTAAACAACTGGCAAATGTCTTTGATCCCTCTGTCACAAGAGGAATCAAGCCTCAGAGACCATAATCCAGCAAAAACCTATCCCCAGTGCCCCAGGAACTACTCAGGCTGCCTAGTTGCCTCTGCGAGTATTGTCAGCACATACAGACGACATTCACATTAGTTCCACTTGGTCTAGCTGGGGAAGTAGCCTAGGAGCAGTCTTTAGGGCAAGGAAAGACCAAGTTGAGATTTTCAGTGGGCCTCAAGACTTTACTGAATTTTGTAATGAGAAGGACAAAAAGTATCCTGCAGGTAGAAGGAGCCAAAATCGTAACCCCCAGTTTGCAGGCTGGGCCTCTCAATGGCAATCCTTTCCCGTGTCTGTGCTGTCCAGCATGCCAGCCACGAGCCACGTGGAGCTCCTGAGCAACAGAGGAAATGAATTTTTCATTTTTCATTTTTCACTTATTTTTTAAATTTTTTTAAGTTCATTTATTTTGAGAGAGAGGGAAAAAAAAAAAAACTCCAATGGGGGAGGGGCAGAGAGAGAGAGAATCCCAAGCAGGCTCTATGCAGTCAACACCCTGGCAGTGCAGTCAGAGCTTTAACCTACTGAGCCACCCAAGCGCCCCTCATTTTTCATTTAACTTAAATTTATTTAAGTTATAATTCAATGTGACTAATTTACAAATAAATAGCCACACGGGGCTACTATATCTGACAGCACAGATCTAGAATCCAAAACGTTATAGTGCCAATAGCGATAACAAAATAGTGCCAGCATGTAAAAAGAGCTTATGATTTTCCACTCATTGTTCCGAGTGTATTGGCTGTTAAACGTGCTCCATTGCCTTGCTTTTTTACTATTTTCCAAGTCTTGTCATGAAAAGACAAATTCATGTAAAATAATTACTACCAACTTTACTACGTATTCTGATACCATGCAGTTTCCAAATCTGTAACTACTAAAAATCTAATTACCAGCAGCCAGAGATTTTTTTTTTTTAACCTAAAAAGGGAGTTGTTCCGCATCCTTGAAATGATCAAGAGCCAGTGATTTAAAGTATTAGCAGAATGGCAGGTGGAAGAAAAGAAAATAAAGGTCTTCACCTTCAAGCTCCCCCGCTCATTCCCATGCTCCAGGAGAGCAGAGGCTCACTTCCGCTGTGTACCCCAGGAGCAAGGACGTGGGGAGCAGAGTGGAATTACAGAGAACCTCCTTCCTGTCTTCTGCCGTTGGAGTGGAAGGACCATCCACTCGGCTCTGCCTGCTGGGCCTTCCTGTGCCCACCTAAGCCCCGGCCTAAGTTTCCAGAGGCTGTGGATGTGCGAGCGAGCGTGCACGGGTACAGGGGCGGGAGGGTGTGCAGTTTCACTCACCTGAGCACATCTCCCCCTTATAGCGGACGCAGGAGAAGTCATCACACTCGCAGTACTTGCCCGTGATCTTGCCAAAGTCACTGCTGTGGCAGACGCACTGGCCACACAGGCACTCGCCCCGCTGGCTGCAGGCGGGCTGGCCCTCCCGGGGGCTGCACTCTTCCTGCTGCGAGGGGCGGTAGTCCTCTTCGGAGCACTCGCACTGGGACCCCAGCCACCCGGGCCCGCAGCGGCACACCCCACACTCAAAGGTCCCGTTGCCATTGTTGCAGCGGTGGCTGTGAGGCTCAGCATGGGCCTGGCACGCACAGTCACAGTCGAAGGTGACCTGAACGGTGAGGCTGTCTTTGAAGCCTACAGGCTTGATGGTGAAGGACTTCTCCCTCTCCTGCGGGCAGCCTCGCACCTTGGCCTCAATGCTGAAGCTCACCTGGGTGGAAAGGAAGACCGCATTCAAACACAGGCGCACCCTGTTATCACTCCAGCCCTGGAGGGAAAGAAGCCCTGCCCTGCCCCGCCCTGCCCTGCCTGGGGAATATCCAAACTGGGTGTCTCATCCCCCAGCAACCTGGAGTTCCTCAGCCTCCAAATGACCAAGGTCTGCAAAGCAAAAAGAAAAGCCTGTTGTCCAGTTATATCTGGTTGGGTGCACAGACATAATTTACAGTCAGGAGAGAGGTTGTTTTTTTTTTTTTTAATATATATTTATTTTTTGGGAGACTGCAAGTGGGGGAAGGGCAAAGAGAAGGACAGAGGATCTGAAGCAGGCTCTGCGCTGACAGACTGACAGCAGTGAGCCTGAGGTGGGGCTCGAACTCATGAACTACAAGATTATGACCTGAGCTGAAGTTGGATGCTCAACCAACCGAGCCACCCAGGTGCCCCTGGATGTGTGTGTGTGTGTGTGTGTGTGTGTGTGTGTGTGTGTGTGTGCGCTTTAATTCCACCTGTGAAATAAGCCAGCTCAAGCAGAACAGAACCTGTGATCTTATAAAAATTCTTCTCTGGCCAACGAAGCGAGCTGGACTGATTATACACAAGGTCAGTCAGCCAGACACACAAAGCACTATATGGCACCACACGATGCCACACAGTGACCAAAGGCTCAGGATCTACTGTTTAATTTCCATATAGTACATCATCACTTGTGCAGTCAAACACCTTTCCGGCCAATATTTCTTAGACAGGATATGTGCACATGTTCTAGAATATAGATAGGTGTACGGACAGATGGATGGACCTAGATATAGAGATGACAGAGATACAGATGATAGAGATACAGATGATACCGGTGATAGAGATATAGCTATCGCCCTTTCTGCTTCCCTCCCTCTTCACCAACCCCTCCCCCCATCAGCAGAAGCAGAAGAGAACCAGTAAGGAAAGAAAGCCATAGAGGCCACAGAGGGACCTGAGGGGCAAAATGAACATTTGCGTTCTGGAAGTCTATGACAGTGGGTATTTGGTATTTTTGCCTGTTCCATTTGCTGTTGAATCTCCAGCAGCGAATGATGCCTGGCACAAAGTTGGCGCTCAGCAACTATCTGTAGATGTGACTGCCATTTCACATTGTAGAGGAAAGACCGTAGGGGAGGCTGGAGACTGGGCCAAAGGTCAGAAATATTTTCATTTGCAATCAACTGTGCGTAAACAAACAGAGGTAAGCTAAACGCAAGTTTTTTAAAAATCTCCCCGTAGCGGAGAAGTTTAGACAACAGGAGTCTCAGAGGAAAAGGTTGGCAGCTCCATTATATCCAACTTGTAATGACCTTCGGGAAGAAGGTGCAGGGGATGAACGGAAGGGGTGCCCACAGACGCTCAGGGGCACAGGCCAGGGTCAGAGCTGAAGCTTCAGCCCCTGCCCAGCCCAGCCCACCTCACCGTGTCTCCAATCTTGAGTCCGACACAAGACTTGAGGCCAGGGATGACCTCGTTGTTGAGACAGGTGGCGTTGAAGGATAGAGACAGCTCCTCGGGGAGGTCCCGCACTTCCAGCTCTACTTTAGAGCGGATTTTCTGAGCAGAAAGGGGGCAAAAGAAGGTTAAGGAGATGAGCCGAGAGGAAGTAGATAGGAACCAATTCCACCCCAAGTAAAATATCAGGTGGCCATGGACTCACCGCGGCAGTGCTGGGTGCTGGGGTTTGCTTAGAAGCTGCCAGAGGAGAGCATCCTTAGGAGCCTATTTCTTACAATATTTCCTGCCCAAGGCCTGCTCCTCTCTCTCTCTGTCCCCCCTGGTGTCTAGTTGAATCTGGGTAAAATCTAAACCAGCCACACCCTCCTGCAAGCCTCAGAGACATGCAAAAAGGGAGGGCTAGCACTGGTCACCTTGGATAGTAGCTTTTTTTACCTAATTTTTAACCAACCTCATCTTCCCCTTGGCTCAGCTCCCTCTTCTCTCTATTGTTGGAGCCCTATCCCTCACCCTGTCCTTCCTCATCACCATCCCCAACCTCTCTTTCCTTTCCACCTTCTCTAAGCTCTTCCACCCACTGCTCCTGACACTCCCTGGCATTTCTTTCTGAGCCATTTCCCTCTCAGAATGCTGCATTCCTCCGAGTGCTGGCCATCAGCCAGCCTCTAGAAGAATAAGAGGAAGGCAGTGAAGGCTGCATAGTGAACTCACATCCAGGACTCTAAAGTCTGCGTTCCCTCCTGGGGAATGCCAAGTGAGGTGGATTCTTAGCAGACCCAACCCCAGTGCGAGACACTTACCCCATAAGCATCAACAATGAGCTGAAGGACGTTGCTGGAATTGGCAGACAGAACCCCCACTGTCGTCCCTGGGATGAGCTCGCTATAGTTCTAGAAGGTAAGACAGAGAGATGTGCAAGGCTGACTAAATGAAGAGGGTGATCTCAAAAGCCCTCCCTAAATCAGGATGAGGGTCTTGAAACGAAGATTGAGGGAAGGATGGGATATTTTACTTGTCACTTCCAGGAACAAATATAGCAGTTTTGCAGCCCTGAGAAAAATTATAAAGAACTTCTCACACCCCTCTCCCCCAATAAATTACTCCCCTCCAGCACCACAAACACCAACACACCCATCCCGTGAGGTTCAAGTTTGGAGGAGAGAGACCATAAAAAGGAACCATTTGCCCCTGGGAATAGGCTGGAGGAGGGGCTTTCCTGGTTGGGAAGCATGGCCCGTGCTAGTGTGCCTGGGTTCCCAGAGACAGCTCCACCCAATACAGACCCCACTCCCGAAATCCCTGAAGGCACAGTCACCTGGTAGAGACTGACTACATTTTCCGTTACAGCAAAGATCAAATTGATGTTTTTCTGGGATAGCTTCTCGGTCATCAGCCCCAGAGAGGGATAATCCTGTAAAATGGGAGGATGTGGAAGTCAGTTAAGAATTCACCGGAACCCTACACCTTAGAACTTGGCTGATTTGGGCTGTGGCCCAGACGGTGGTGGTGCTTAAACCTTTTCACGCCATGATCAATGTGAGGCAATGGACTAAGTGGCAACACAAACCCAGTTGTGAACTCCAGGGACAGATGAAGAGGCAAAGGCTGGTCAAAGCCAAGCATCTCAGGGCACCTGGCTGGCTCAGTTGGTTGAGTGTCCGACTCTTGATTTTGGCTTAGGTCATGATCTCACAGTTCATGAGACTGATCCCCGCATCAGGCTCTGCACTGACAGCGTGGAGCCTACTTGGGATTCTCGCTCCCTCCCTCCCTCTCTGCCCCTCCCTGCACACTGCGTGTGCTCTCTCTTTCTCTCAAAATAAATAAATAAACATTAAAGAGAACCCAGGTGGCTCAGTTGGTTGACGGGGTCATGATCTCACAGTTTGTGAGTTCAAGGCCCTCATCAGGCTTGCTGCTGTCTGCACAGAGCCCACTTCTGATCCTCTGTCTCCGTCTTTCTGCCCCTACCCCACACATGCATGCGCACGTGCGCGCTCTCTCTCTCTCTCAAAAATAAATAAAACATTTAAAATAAATAAGCATAGGGGTGCCTGGGTGGCTCAGTCGGTTGAGTGTCCGACTTCGGCTCAGGTCATGATCTCACGGACCGTGAGTTCGAGCCCCGCGTCGGGCTCTGTGCTGACAGCTCAGAGCCTGGAGCCTGCTTCCGATTCTGTCTCTCTCTCTCTCTCTGCTCCTCCCCCGCTCACACTGTCTCTCTCTCCTTCAAAAATAAATAAACATTAAAAAAATTTTTTTTAAATAAAATAAATAAGCATAGAAAGAAAGAAAGGAAGAAAGGAAACCAAGCATCTTTCTTCCTACTGGACTTTGATGCATTCATACCAGTTAGTTGTCAGGCCTCGTTTTTTACCCCCCCTACTAATTCGCTTAACAAACATTGAATGATACACATATTACAGTCTCTGCTGCCAAGGAGCTCAGAGTCTAGTGCCGAAGCCAGGTACATACGACACAAAGCGAAGTGCAGAGAGGGGCATCGCAAGGGAATGTTGGGGCTCCTAGGAGAGAGGGGCAGGTGACGAGCGGGAAGGAAAGAGGGAGCTGCAAGGCAGAACTCCGAGTCTCCCTACCCACTGCTCTCCATCCAGCATGTGTCAAGCCCCATTTTGAAGCTTCTTCTTGTTTTGCAACTACTGACAAACACCTCAGCCTGGCGTGCGTAATCCTCCCCAACGTGGTCTCAGCCTTCTGGTCCACACGGCATACACCTCTCTCCCTCTTCCACTGACCACTGAGCTGCCCCCCCCCTCCCCGCCATGGACTGGCCTTCTTTCTGGTAACCCTCCTCCTTCCTCAGGACCCAGCTCAGGTCCCACCTTCTCTGGGAGTCCTTCCTTGACTATCCCAGTTCATGATGAGCTTTCCCCCTTTGAATACCTAAAGCCCTTATTGAGCGTGCTACCCCACTGCACACTAATCAATCATGCATCTTGTATTATTGGTAGCACATCTCCTCAACTAAACCAAAAAGGGTAGGACCTTACGTAGTCCCTTTATCCCCCTCAGCCCCTGGTAAGGTGCCTTGCATACATTGGGTGTCAATGATTACTGACTCACCCAGTGCCCAGTCCTGCCCACTTGGACATGGCTGACACCAAAGAACCCAAGCCACAATGGGGATGCTGGTGAACTGCGAACATGTCCCTGGGATCCTAGACCTTGCAGAGAACTCATGAGATCATCCAGTTTGGGGGAGGGGGTGGGGGTGGGGCGGGGAACTCCCGCCTTTACACAGGTGTACCGTTAAGCCACCTAGACAAGGAGGGGCTATACTGTCTTTAAGAGACGTAGAGTTCACACCTCCCCCCAGATGCCCAGGTATCAGTATTCTGAGGGTCTTACATTTCTTCCTGGCTTACAGCCACTTAACTCCTCTCCTGTTACTTGACCTACTATGGCCATAGAAAACAACTTAGAAGAAGTCGTCTTCTGTATCAGCTACATCATCCTTTCACCTTCTTCCTTTTTGTCCCTTTAACCTTTCCTCACAGGAACAGATCGCCATTCTTCAGATGATCTTTGTCTCTTTTTCCTCTGTCTTCTTCCAATAATCACAAGTGAGCCCGGTATTCCAAGAAGAGGCTAATCTGTGCACAGTAGACAGGAAGGCCCGCTTCCCAGCTGGACCTGCAAAAGTCCTTTGGGTCCATTCTGGATGCCATGCTGCTGCCGCTGCTGTTGCTTCTGCTGCTGGAGGCAGGGGAGGTGGTGGCGACAATGCCACAGCCAGGACCACTTATAATGGCTGTGCAGGCCGTACCGGGGGTGAGGGTGTCCAGTTGGTATGGGGGGCAGCGGGAGGACAGGCTGAAACAAGCCTTGCACCCTGCCCAGGGGAAGTGCCGCCATTTCCACATTCACACAAAGACTCTGCCTGGGTTAGGGCAGCCTTGGCCAGAGTGAATTGGGACCATAGGTGGTACCAAGAATCTCACCATGGTAGTGGAGGCAGAGTAATGGTTGTCACTGCCAACGTGGCACTGCCCATCATTGGGCTGGACAATGCCTGCCAGCCTTCCATCCAGCGCAATATGGGTCTTGGCATCAGTGGTAAACACCAGCAAGTGGGAGGCATCATTCCTCCAGCCAATCTTCTCCTGTTAAAAAAAAAAAAAGCAAAAGAAAGAAAGCAACTTAAGCCACATCATTGGTAGAAAACAAAGATTCAAGGACTTCCACGCGTGAAGGGCTGAACAAGTCGTCTCGAAGAGGGGCCTCAGTCCCAGTCCTCAGAACACGAGCCAGAGCTTTTCCAAGTTGAAGGTTTCTGTCTCTTAGGAAAAGAGTCTCAGCTGATTAGTTCAGGCAGCTGAAAGACACCTACTTCAACTCTAAACATAACTTTTCCAGTGATAATCACATGGCCCATCTAGAAAGCCACCAGCAAGTACGAGCTGGGCTGGGCTAGAGAAATCCCAACTGAACACCTGCCCGCTTTGCTAAGGTTCAGCTAATCCAGCCTTGACTCTGACACCCTTCTAGAAAAGGTGGGAAGATGCTCTTCGCAGAAAACATCTGGGATCACTGAGGTTCAGAAAAACGTCTGCTCTGGCCAGGGAACGATCCAAACAAAGGCTGCATAACAGGAGAAATGTACTGCTCATACTATACAAAACTCTTTGTTCCTCTCTCTTATTTCACACAGAAACCCCCACAGTTGGACCACCTTCTTCCCCATTTTAATCTACGCCAACCACACCCGCCACGCCCTGCCGTCCAAACTCACATCACAGACTGTAGCCTGCATGATGGCATCAAAGCCACCCTCTGGGGCATCTCGGTTCCGCGACACACTCTGCTTCTTCACTTCCTCATTGAAGCGGGTCACCTGGTCAGTTAGTGTCAGCACATGTTTGTAGCCAAACATAGGCAAGCAGGTGTTCTTCATACTGGTGGAGGGAGGGAGATAATTGAAGCAGAAACCCTAACTGGAAAAGGCTGCATGAGGAGTAAGAGGGAGAAAGGGGGAGACAAGCATGGGTAGCACAAGGCCCAGGCCGATTCCATACAACCGCCGCTACCCAGACTGTTCAGACTCCAAACCCCTCTAATGACCCAAGTCATCATGGTGGCTTTGCCTCCAGCTGGCCTCCAAGATAAGATAGTGAGCTGTGGAACCAGTCTGCCTGGGTTCAAGTCCCAGCTCCTCCACTTACTAGCCATGAGACTGTCATATGATAGGTCAAAATGAGAGGGTCAAAATGATAGGTCATATCTCCTAAGAGTTATTGTGAGGCTTCCATGAGTTGACTCATGGAAAGCGCTTATATCAGAGTGAGGTTCCAGTTGTCACCGTCACCTTGGACTTAACACCTCTCCAAGGTAACACCGACAAAACAATAAAGCAAAAGCTCATCAACAACTTCATATCCATGAACCACCAACAAATTGATAGATCTGCACCAGACTAAACCAACCAACAGTTTAACTGATGGCTGACATCTTTACTGGGGAACTTAACAACCCAGACAGAAAGTCAAAAGGGTACCTCGTATAACTCTGAAAACGAAAAGGTAAATTCATCCATTGTCTGGCTCAGTAACCATCCTTTGAAATGATTACACTCCATGGATGTTCAGAGTCTTTACCAATTAAATAAGCCATTCAGTTATAAGCCAAAGTGTCAACAGAAACACACATATCAATTTTCAGACTATTAGAGAGTTCAGTAAATATCATTTCCACTCTTTTTATATTCCTCCAGGACTTAATCCTCCTTGCATTTTAACTCTGTAGTACTCATAACCTTGATGATGAGGAGACAATGGAATCAATCCTTCGAAAATTATAATTCCTCTATTTATTCATCCATAAATTTCTCTCTACTTTTTATCTCCTTTCCCTCCGTTTTCTCTTGTCTCCTACTTCTTTGTAACAAGACCAAGAAGCTGATGAGTTTTCTTTCTGGAAATTCTCCACCCTTTCTTTTTTTTTTTTTTTTTTAATTTTTTTTAATGTTTTATTTTTGAGAGAGAGAGACAGACAGACAGAATGCAAGCCGGGGAGGGGCAGAGAGAGAGGGAGACACAGAATCCATAGCAGGCTTCAGGCCCTGAGCTGTCAGCACAGAGCCCAATGCAGGGCTCGAACCCACGAACTGTGAGATCATGACCTGAGCCAAAGTCGGACACTCAACCGACTGAGCCACCCAGGCGCCCTAATTCTCCACCCTTTCTAAATGCCCATCTGTCTAATCCTCTTCCCAAGAGTCACAAAGATTTTGGCAGTTATTACACTCCAAACAGCCTTGGATTCTACTGCCACAATGCTCCAGATCAACAGGCCAGCTCACTTGCCAGACAGGAAGACCAAGGTAGAAAAGAGACAGGATTTGGCCAGACGGCAGCCAACGAATCTACCCCAGAGCTAGAAACAGGCAACAGGACTTGCACCTGCCTGAGACAAAGGCAAGTGATGCTGCCCTGGCTTTTCGAAGAGGGACTTACTCATAGCAGGGGTTTTTGAGGGCCTCTGGAGGGGAGATGTACATGTATGGTGACACAGGCTTGTCCACAAAAGCCCCAAAGCCAATCCGCAAGTTACTGGTGAGCTTGCGCATCTGGGAGGCCAGCTTGGTGCCCAGGTTCTGGATGCTCCACAGATCATCCTTCATGGAGTAAGACAGGTCCATCAAGTAGTAGATGTCCACAGGGTAATCCTCCACCTGCCGGACTCGGACGGAGAAAATCTTTGAATCATCTGGAAGGCAAGAGGATGTTTGTTTTTCTCCTTTTCCCCCTCCGAGACTTAATAAGTGGATTGGACACAGTTGGGATTGAGTAACTTCTTGATCAAACCAGACTGGAAAGCCCTGGTCCTTTCTCTTCTCCCCCTAATTCTATTCCTCTTACAATTCTTGATCCTTTTATTTTATTTATTTATTTATTTATTTATTTATTTATTTATTTAGAGAATGAGCAGGGGAGGGGCAGAGGGAGAGAGAAAGAGAGAGAGAGCAAGCGAGCGAGCGAGAGAGAGACCCAAGCAGGCTCCATGTTTCACGCTGAGCCAGACACGGGGCTTGATCCCACCACCATGAGATCATGAGCTGTGCCAAAATCAAGAGTGGGATCCTTAACCAACGGAGCCACCCAGGCACCCCAATCCTCTTATTTTAACCTCTTTTTTTTTTTTTCCACCTAAAATTCTCCACCCTTTCTAAATGCCCATCTGTCTAACCCTCTAGGTCCCAAGGGTCACAGAGGTTCTGGCAGTCACAACACTTCCAACTCTGTAAAAGGCCCAAACTATGTCCCACCCTCCTCCGAACCCCCTAGCACCTAACACATGCCTTGCATGAAGAGGGTACTTGGTAAAATTCTTCCTGATGTAATTGGAGAGTCTAAATCAATGCTTCAAAAAGCCTGTCTCAGCCTAATCCTTGTCCCCCGAAAGTCTCCTGGCCCTATTTTATCTGCTGCCATGCCTTTGCCCTAATCTTACCTGGAAAGGGGGCTTACAATTACAGATTACTTTCTCATTTTGTATCTCATCGGAGCCTCAACACAAAGCTGTAAGTTAGGTAAAACAAGCATTGGGAAAAGAAGAAATAAACATTGTTTCCAGTTCCTACTATCTTAGAAGAGTTAAGTAACTTGCACGAGGTCAGATAGCTAATATATGGGGCAGTCAAGATTCAAACTCAGATCTTTCTGATTTGAAGTCCCAATACCTTTCATTTTCTTCTGTTCTCCTGCCCATACCACCCCCAACATCCTTCTCTTCCCACGCCATTTCCATCATGAGCTACATCCCCAAGGTTCAGGCCTCCACCTTGTACCCTGTGCCCATCTGTCCGGGATCTCTCCCCAGAAAGAGCCCCATCCCTACCTGGCCGGAGCCGGAGCGCAATCCTCTGGGGGCTGACTTGAGTAATCTGGGAGCTGTCTCCAGAGCCCTTGTCGCTGAGGGGCCTGGCCTCTAAGATGCGGGCCTCACTGACGGGGAACTCGATGGACTCCAACGCACAGTTATCCTTCAGCAGATTCTCTTTCAGGTTACAGCGGGGCGAGCCCAGAGGGAGGGCCTGTAAGACAAGAGCCCAAGGTGAGGCCCTGTGGTCAGAGCCATGTGGCTCTCTGCGTCCTGCAGGCTTTGCCAACTTCCAACAGCCTAGAGTTTACCCAGCACTCCGGAGCTAAACCAGAGCTGAACTGAGGTGGTCTCTCCTAAGATAGCCCATTGTACAGAAGGGGGAAACTGAGGTACCGGAAATGCTGGGCGAGCGCCTGTTCATGGATTGGTAGCTAGGAAGAGGGCCAGTACAGTAGGATGCCTGTTAGACCAGCAGTTTTCAAACAGAAATGCAACCCGCACGTGAGTCCCAGAAATCAATGTAGAGGATCTCAACCATCAATGTATTAAATAAAGTACAGAGCACAGGAGTAGACTAGCAGAGACTCTTCAGCACTGCCTCTTACTAGCTGGCTCCGAGGGCAAGTCACGGAAGCTCTCCATGCCTCGATTCCTCAGCTGTCATGGGAAGATAATAATAGCCCCCCACACAGGGATGTTATGCAGGACTAAATAAGACAATGCACATGAAACACAGAGTATAGTGCCTGCCTGAGGATAAGTGCTCAATAAAAGGTAGCTATTGTTATGAGATGCTCTATAAATAGTTCCTGGATAAGTCGGTTATAAATAAACTCCACAAGCTGGGGCAAATCCCATGATGCCAGGCACTGACCAGAGCCTCCCCTATCACTTTAAGCTTCCTCCCTTACCCTGGACACAGGGCATTGAGCGCCCTTCCAAAAACCCTGGCGTATATCCCACGGCCCTCGGAAGCTCTGTGTGTGTCTACACTGGAGTACTGAGTGGGGGGCATGCTGCACTGGAAAGAAATCAGGAAACAGGCTCAATCCTAGGTCTACCACTAATGAGCACATGACCCCAGATAAGTCATTTCACGCCTTTGAGCCTCAGTTTCCTCACCTGTGGGACGAGGGGGTCAGGTGACATGGTGTTTTCAGTTCCTTCCTGCCCTGACGTCCAGCACATTTAGCCAGCACTGTGTGGGCCCAGATCCAGGAGGGCTCCTTGCCAGGTTGGGAGAACTGGCCGGAAAGCCGGAAAGCCCTTCCCTGGACCTATTTCACAATATTTAGGCCTTCAGGCCCTCAATCCTCACCCCCATCCCTACCCACTCCCTCTCACAACCATTTCCAGAAGTCAGCTGAACAGCCCGCACCAATATCCCAGAAAAACTGGTGTTAACATTTACTGAGAACTCATCGCATATCCCGCACAGCGACACGCACTTTATGTGGACACAGCTCTGGTTACGGTTCCCTCGTGCTGGAACTGTTGTTATTTTATAAGTGAAAAACCTGAGGCCCGGAGGCTTCACAAATGAGGAACCCGATCTTGCAGGAAAGACATCTAAGGCTTGGAGAAGTTAAGTAACTTGCCCAAAGTTACAGAGCTAAGAATGGCAGAAGAGAGGTCTAACTAGATTATCTGACTGTAATTATCCTCTTAAAGTGATAGTTTGTATTAAATTCTGTATAGTGAGGAACAAGGCAGAGAAACAGGAGTGTGGAAGTGACAGTCCTGGGAAGAGTCACACCTGAGAATGCCTGGGTAGGGAACAGAATGCAGGATGGGGATGTGGCTGGTGTGGGAAGGATAGATAATGTTCTGCCTCCTTAGCCCCTGCAGGTGACTAGTAGCCATATTGCCAAGGGAGGGATGCGGCCACAAGGAACCATCCATACTCAAAAAATCAGGACTCTGTAGCCTAAAACTCCTCCTGATGCTTGAAGTCTCTCTCCCTCTCATGCCCAGCCCTTGCCTGATAGACTGAAAGTCTTCCCCATGTGGAGGGAAACATGAAACCAATAGTGCTATAGACTGAATGTCTGTATCCCCCCCAGAACTCACATGTTAAACCCTAACCCCCAAGGTATTAGGAGGTTGGGCCTTGAGAGGTGATTAGGTCTTGAGGTGGAGCCCTCATGATGGGAGTAGTGCCCTTAAAAAAAGGCCCCATGGGGCACGTGGGTGGCTCTGTCAGTTAAGCATCTGACTTCGGCTCAGGTCCTGATCTCACGGTTCATGAGTTTGAGCCCGGTGTCAGGCTCTGTGCTGACAGCTCAGAGCCTAGAGCCTGCTTCAGATTATGTGTCTCCCTCTCTCTGTGCCCCACACACACACTCTCTCTCTCTCTCAAAAATAAATAAAACATTAAAAAAAAATTTTTTTTTAAGAAAAAGGGTCCCAGAGAGCTCCCTGGCCCCTTCTGCCATGTCATAGCAAAAAGACAGCCACTATGACACAAAATTTGCTGGTACCTTGATCTTGGACTTCTCAGCCTCCAGAATTATGGGAAATAAATGTTTGTTCTCAAGCCATCCAGCCTGTGGTATTTTAAGTTTATTTATTTATTTTGAGAGAGAAAGAAAGAGTTAGCATGGGGGGGGGGGGGAGGAGCAGAGAGAGAGAAAGAGAGAGAGAGAACCCTGATGCAGGGCTCGATCTCACAAACCGTGAGATCATGACCTGAGCCAAAACCAAGGGACGCTTAACCGACTGAGCCACCCAGGCCCCCCTATGGTATTTTTGTTATAGCTGCCTGAATAGACTAAGAGAAATGGAATGAGGACCATCCTGGCCCAGGCAAAAAGTGGAAAAAGCTTCTGGAAGTTGGCAGCTTCCTTCTTTCCCTCTCAGCTCCATGAGTATGAGGTGATTAAATGACATCAGCAGTGGGAAGCAGTGCAAAGGACTTAACCTTCTTGGCCCAGAAGATTCCAACGGGGACATCACAGATCCTCCAAATCTCTGGGATAGATGAAAATGTCCTCTCCGCTCCCAGCCCTGGCCAAGGACAGATGGCGGAGTGAACTTATGGGCACTTGGAGTTTTTGTGCCCAATCTTCTCTGGCTGCCCCTGCACATCTCTCCCAACCCCTCTCCCCCAGGAAACATCCTCCTGCTCACAGTGCTCCCTACCTTATCTCTGAGCCCAGCTACCCGCAAAGCCCCAGGGAGAAAACCTTCCAAAAAAGGCAATGACTGGAGAGACCAAGATGCATGGAGGAGCTGACCCTTTCCAGTACTAAGACATTTGCCAAAGGAGAGAGCAAAGGGGAGACCAGGGAACTGAAGGAGAGCAGCAAGGCCTTCGTGGGTCTTTAAGCTGCACCCTTGAAGGCGGGGTTTCTTGACTGCCCATTTCCCAATATGACAGTGCTTATTACGAGAAGGTTTGAAGTGCTAAGCCCTGCTGATGGTCCTTATGGTTTGTTATGAATTTCCTTAGAAATAGAAACACTGACAAACAAAAACTGTCTCCCTCCCTCCTTCTGCGGTCACTGACATCAGAGGTCAGGAACAGAACAGGCGGGCCCTTCAGCCACGCTCTCCCAGAGAGCCTCCTGTCCCGGGAGGATACCAAGGTGGTGACCTCAACACACTTGGGCAACATTCCCTTTCTTAATAACCCAGATTAGGAAGGTAGAAGGAATGCCTCTAGGTTACTCAGAGAAAAAAACTGAAAGGAGGGAGGACGAAGGTTAAAGTTCCAGTTCCTGGTGAAACCGGACGTGACACAAAAAGGGCAGAAATAACCAAGACCCAGGGGAAGATCCTGAGCACAGGGGTGGGAGGTTCCAGCCCACATGCTGTGTGAGCTGAATCCCCTCCCTCTCCTGGGAGACTGATGCATGCTATCAGTCCTATTCTTCATTCATCCTGATTTGGAAACTGGGAAAGTACAGCATGAATAACTCTCATTATCCTACCTCTCTCACAGGCTTGGTCAGGGGATAAAATAAGACTGTGAGCACGAAATGCTTTCAAAATATGAAAAATCTCAATAGAAGTCAAATATACTCAAATTCTTTTGATATGATATAAACCAATAAATGCAAATAGAAGGTGACTGTTTGGGGAGCACCTGGGCGGCTCAGTTGGCTAGGCATCCAACCCTTGGCTTTGGCTCAGATCCTGATCTCACAGTTTCATGAGTTCAAGCCCCACATCAGGCTCTGCGTTGGCAGAGCGGAGCTTGCTTGGGATTTTCTTGCTCCCCACCCCTCCCCTACGCACAATGTCTCTCTCACTCTCTTTCTCTCTCTCAAATAAAGTTAAAAAAAAAAAAAAAGAGGGTGACTCTTTTCTACCAAATGCCTCCAACCCAAATAAATTAACATTGTTTTCTTGATTGACATCCAGTGAGGACAAGAAATCGCTTGACCATCCAGTGACAAAAGTGTGGAAGGGACAGAAAGAAGGAGAGGAAAAGAAAAGCACTTTAGTTTATGGTTATTGGTATCCATACCCCATTGTTTATGGGAAGGGGAACACTTTCAATATTATACCTTTATTTTTACAATAACACATTTAGCAAAACTCTCAAGATGAACATTTACCCTCCATATTAAAAGAAAAATAGAAACAAAAAGCAGCAGAGAAGTGAGAACAAAAGTATAATGCGACTGAAAAAGAATCCAATAGTAGCCTCAAACCTTTCCCCGATAGATGCAGAGAAGAAAATAAGTCACCTCTACTGGAGTCTTCTACTTAGCTAAACCCAAACCCATTCCTCTTCTTTCATCCTCGGTTGTCAGGCTGAGTGTCAGCTGGTCCACCTTCTGATGCAAACTCAGAACTACAGAAGAATTTCTAGTACCTCCCCTCTACTTAGAGTTGCCAAATATAGCAAATATTTGGGACATACTTACATTAAAAATTATTTGTTATTTAATTCTAATTTTACTGGGTGTCTTGAATTTTAGCTGGCTGCCTTAACTCCACCTCCACCGACCATGACCCCAGTGATCAGCCCCTTTGATCAGGAGTATTTGCCAAACTTGCTACTATAAGAACCCATGCTGGTGCAAAAGGTCCGGGATCCATCCGGGGAACCTTTATATTTAAAAAGCACCCCAGGTGGTTCTTACAACGAGGTAAGTTTGGAAGGTTCTAGATTCCAACATGGCGCCACGGAGGCCGAGACCATGAGTTGAATCTCTGGGGAAGCTTGGCCTCTTTGTTACATTCACATCCCAGAGACAGTACACCGCCCCCACCCGTATCAGTATCCAATCCTCCAGGAACACACCCTCTGCAGATGGACCCAAAACTGCACTCATCCACTTTGGCTATGTTTTCCTATTACCCGGCCAAACACTTGCGATACACACCCAGAGCTGCTGTCCTCTAGGACCAAGGGAAAGCTGAGCCCAACCAGTTGTTTTTCCAGGCACTGCCAACCCTGCCTGCAATGGCTAAGGTAAGGGAGGCAGAGGCAGAGGGCCCTCTAGGGTCAATTATTCAACAAGTCATATACAAAATGGCCCAGATGGTTCACTTCTGGGTTTTTAAGCCGACAGCCAAGACACTTTCAGCAGTTAAACTTGGCCTGTGTAGGGGAAGCCTCGGGCAAAAAAAAAAAAAAAAAAAAAAAAACAACCACCACCAGCAGTCGTGTTCAGGTTACAGGCTGGGATTCCCACCCCCCACTCCTCCCTGGCTGACACACTTTGCCTCATACTGGGCTCCTCCGCTATCTCTCCTCCCCTCCTCTCCCTTTCTCAGAGATAGTTGTAGTCATTCTCTAACCCCTTGGCCTCCCCCACTTTCCTGTTTATATTCCATTCTCCCAGAGAATATCTTATTGGACCTTCTACTTCTACTCATTAGTTTTCTTTGGTCCTTGATACACTCATTTCCTCTCTGACTCACCCCATCCCCCCCCCACCACCACCACCATTCCTAGGCAGGTCCTACCTTACGCTTTGATCCTACCCTCACCTTCCCGCTCCCCCCCATCCTCCCCTAGTCTGCCCCAGGAGGCAAAATTCACCACGGTCATCCATAAATATTCTGCACTTGCATTTCCAAAATCTGGTCACATGACCTACGGGCTTTGTCCGGTTCGGCCTCAACATACCTCAGCTACAGGGCATGTCCTTATGCAGAGCAAAAGGGGTGATGACACTCCAAGAATATGTTTTCTTTTTCCCCAGATGCCTCTTGGCCACAGTTGCCTGCATTTTCTCTCACTTTGGGTTGAAAAGGAGGGAAAGGGGATGGGAGCATCCTTTGAGCGACACTAGGGCTTCTCCCCTGGCTACCCATCTGCTCCAGCCAGCTTCAGGCCATCCAATCCAAGAAGGAGGCATCCGCCCCATCCAGCTCTCCCTTCTTCTGGGATGCAGTTGCAGAATTCCAACCTCCTTACAAGAGCGGGTGAGTGATATTATGATGGCAACCAAGGGAAGGAGGATATGGCAGAGGACAAGGGAGGAGGCCCCATCACACTGGAGCAGCCAGCTCAGCCCAGAGGGGTGGAGAACCTATGGGGGTGGGGGGAGGGGGGATGGATTCACCCGCCCCCTCCCCACCTCTCCCTCCCAGCCCCAGGGAATGTTTCGTTTGCTAAATGAAGTCAATGTGGCCCAGATGTTGGGCAGCTGCCTCTGGAAGCAGTTCCTGTGCTGAACTGTACAGAGGCAAAGTAGTGTGTTGGGCTGGCCCCCGCAGCTCTGGCAGTCCTCCTGTCTAAGGATAAACACAGCCTCCCAGCTCCCACTCTCTCTCCCCACACCCCCACCAGCCTGCCAGGGAGGTTGCCTTTTTAGGAAACTCAGCACATCAGGAAGAGAAGCAAAGGGAGGAGGAGGCTGGGTTAGAGCAGTCAGAAAACTGCAGAGGGCAGAGAGGTGCTGTGGTGACAGAGAGGGCGCCTCAGGTAGTGGGGAAGCAGCCAGGCCAGGAGTTCAGGTAAACACCTGCCGGGGGCCAGGCCAATGACTCAGTCTCGGTCTGTAATCACTGGAATCCCTCCAGCCACACTCACCCCCCAGCTCAAACCAGCTCCAAATTCCCGTCCCAGCCACAAACATAGCCATTCCCTCAGACACACTCATTCCCTAGGGCCCCAGACACAACAAACCCTCTGCCTAGACACAGCTAACCCTTTCCTGTCACCCTTGTATCCTCACCAAATGGGCCCAGCGCCTTCTCTCGTTGACACCTAAGCGAGGGAAGGAAGGAGGAAAATAAGAGAGAGAGGAGCAGGTAAAGCTGCGCGGGGTCCAGACATCACAGAGGAAAAGGGAAGAGAAAAGATCTGACTGAACGTCCCCCACCGCTGTCACGTTAAGTGTAAGATTCTTCTTTTACCGCTCTTTTAAAAACTCTAGGATGTTTTTATGCCAGCATCCCCTCTATACCAATAACCCTCTGCTGCCTCTCTTTTTGATACCCTGCTTTCCCGGGGTGCTCCACCCCAACAAAAAAGCAATCAAAGTGTGGCAAAGGGAGACAATGGCTACAGTGACGCCAGGAGCCTGACCACATTGGCTCGTGCTGGGGGCCACACCGCAGAGTCTGGACGGCGTTCCCGGCAACAACCCCATGACAGCGCACGTTGACATCTACCAATTTGAAGGCTTCCTTCTAGTTCTGCTCAGAAGGGACACGGGGCTTGTGTATTTAGCAGGGAGGAGATAACCCTATGGGTCCATTCCTGCACAAAAGCAGCGAAGCCTGGGTTAAGAAGGAAGGTCAGATGTCCTCTCCTTACCTCATCTGAGCACCAGGCACACGCAGGACTCACAGCTAGACACTCCTGGCAGGAGTGGATGCCTCGTGTGGTACAGATGTTGGACACTGCAAAGGAGACAAAGGCGTTAGCAACAGACTTGGCCTGACAGGGTAACTGGCCTGTCCCATCATTCCCAACTTCCCCAAATGCTCAGATGTATAGCTCTCAGATGCACACAGCAGGTCTGACCATACCATAGACATTCACCAAACACAGGCTGTTTGGTAAGGAGGAAAGAGAAAGAGAAAGGTCAGGAGAAACTCCTCGCCACCCTCACTGATGAGGCCCCAGTGATGACAAGCTTTGGAGCAAGATGGACCCACAGTGTCAGATCACAACAGATGGAAAGGCTTTCATTAACAACTGGTTTGACACCCACATTGCGCACAGGAAAATCTGAGGCCCAGAGCAATGCAGTGTGCCCTCTCTCCAATTATTCGTGTGACGGATTCACAGCCACTACGTGGGGATCCCAGGCCCTGAGGCACTAACATTAACACACACCCTAAATATGGTGGGGGGCAGTGGTGGGGGTCACTGCCAGGCAGTGTTCCACTGGCCTTCCAGGACAAAGCAAATCTTCTGAAGCCCTCTCAAGACTCCCAATACATATATCAAGGTGTCAGGGTGTAGAATGGTCCAGGGAGAATGCCAGAAATGTCAGAAAAGGCTGAGTGAGATAAGCTGGAAGAGCAGGAATTGGAGTTGGAAGGCCTGTATTTGAATTATTTTTAATTTTTAAGTTTTCATATTCAGGGGCACCTGGGTGGCTCAGTCGGCTGAGCATCTGACTTCAGCTCAGGTCGTGATCTCCCACTCCGTGGGTTCGAGCCCTGCATCAGGCTCTGTGCTGACAGCTCAGAGCCTGGAGCCTGCTTTGGATTCTGTGTCTCCCTCTCTCTCCACCCCTCCCGCGCTTGTGCTCTGTCTCTTTCACTCTCCTTCAAAATAAAAATAAATAAATAAACAAACATATAAAAAAAGTTTTTATGTATTTATCTTGAAAGAGAGAGAGAGACAGACAGCAGGGGAGGGGCAAAGAGAAAGGGAGAGAGAGAATCCCAAGCAGGGAGAGCCCGATGTCAGAGCTGTCAGAGCAGAGCCCGATGTGGGGCTTGAACCCATGAACCACGAGATCATGACCTGAGCCGAAATCAAGAGTCGGACACTTAACCGACTGAGCAACCCAGGCACCCCTGTATTTGAATTTCGAATGCTCCTTTTACTAGCTGTACCAGGACTAACTGAGCTGCTCAGTTAACCTTTATGAAATGGTAACACCCACCTCACAGGATTTGTGCAAAGAATTTAGGGAGGTGAAGGAGAAGTACTCGGCATGTGACAAAATGCCATTTGCATGTGAACAGTTTTCACATTGTCATGGGACAGAGAAAAGCCTGGGGTGTGGGGTGGGAGGGGGAAGAGCAGAGACCACCACAGAGACCGAAATAATCCAGAGAAGCCTAGCCAGGAAGCAAACCCCAGGCATTGGCTTGGGGGGAGGCTCTCATCCTCCCTGCTTCCCCTAGTTCAGCCTTTCTGGGCTCAGCCAGGTAAACCTCCTCCCTTCCGCAGTGGTCCCCAGGAAGGCTTTTTCCAATGTAAGGAACATACTGAGGAAGATACGTTCCTCTCCATGACCCAGGTCCTTCATCCAATTTCCTAAAGTAGTCCCTTTGCTCCCAGCTGGTAAGACCAGCAAATCTATTTTTAGGGAAATCAGCCTGATCAAAAAAAGATTGTTTTCCCAGTGCCCCCAAAACTTCCTATCAAGCTGAATGTCTCAAGTCTATTTTATTATAACATGTCTGAACTCCCTTCCAACACCTAGACAAAACATACCCAGAAAATGTGTGTACACACACACACACACACACACACACAGAATATTGTCAAGAAAAATTATCCATTGTTATCTGTTGTATCCAGTGTTGACAGGTAGACCCACCATACTTAGGGATTATCTGATTTTCTAGGAGTGCATACCTTTGTCTGACTTCTATTGATTAGGACATTTTAGAACTCTATAAAAGTAGAGGTTAACTTGTAGAAAACCAGTAACAATAGAAATGATTCTTGGGGTGCCCGGGTAGCTCAGTCGGTTAAGTGTCTGACTCTCGATTTCAGCTCAGGTCATGATCTCATGGTTTGTGAGTTCAAGCCCCACACGGGGCACTGCGCTGACAGCATGGAACCTGCTTGGGATTCTGTCTCCTTCTCTTTCTGCCCCTCCCCTGCTTGCTCTCTGTATCTTTCCCAAAATAAATAAAAATAAACAAACAAAAAGAAATGATTCTTGATAATAACAGTGCACATGATTCTTATCCAACAGCAATGTAAATGATTTCTGTCTGGTTTTATTGCCTTTCACCAATTTCAAAAATATTAGGTAATTGATTTCAGCGTTCCTTTCAACTACCAACTATAAATCTCCCTTCCCTGAATTTTCTAAAGATTGTTTTAAACTATTTTTAATTAATCTCTCCACCCAACATGGGGTTTGAACTTACAACCCTGAGATCAAGAGTCGCATGTCCTTGCCCTGAGCCAGCCAGGCGCCCCTCCCTTCCCTGAATTTTCTTTTGAATTAACCTGACTCGCTCATTAATTAAGCTGAATAAAATCTTTGACACATGTTCGTGTTACACTTGTATGGTAACGTACTTTTACCTCTTTAAAAAATTACGTTTTGGGGCGCCTGGGTGGCGCAGTCGGTTAAACGTCCGACTTCAGCCAGGTCACGATCTCGCGGTCCGTGAGTTCGAGCCCCGCGTCGGGCTCTGGGCTGATGGCTCGGAGCCTGGAGCCTATTTCCGATTCTGTGTCTCCCTCTCTCTCTGCCCCTCCCCCGTTCATGCTCTGTCTCTCTCTGTCTCAAAAATAAAATAAACGTTAAAAAAAAAAATTAAAAAAAAAATCACGTTTTACCGATATCCATCTCAGGGCCTCACCAGGGGCTGGAGGGAGTTAACAGAACAGGGCAGCGTACAATCAGTAGACTGCGGTCCTCGTTGAGTCACCACTGCTAACGTGGCCTTGGGAGAGTATGCATCTCCTCTTAGCCTGTTTCTTCACTCGTAACTCCTAACGTTACAATTGTTCATCTATCTATCTTAACAACACTGCCACCCAATAGATTTTAATAAGCCTCTTGAGGCTTGCCCCGTCCAGCCCCATCCAGTCCCGTCCAGCCCCGTCCAGCCCCGTCCAGCCCCGATCCTTGCTCACAGGAGATGCTCCATAGATATACAGTGGAGCAAATTGAAAGGCACTGGCCTGGATCAGTTATATTTTGTGTTTTTAAGCAACCGAGCTCATGTCTCCAAATTATGCATTGAGTTCCATTATAAAACATGCAAATGCATTGAAACAGTGCCTGTGACAATTTAAACTTCCACTGTTCTCCTAAAAACACCAGCATCACATGTGGAATCCTGGAAGCCCCAGACTTCCTCAGAGCTCGAGTCTAACTTTCAAAGGCTTTTCCCAAATCCACAGTTCCCCAAGTGGGGTGCCGCTACCAGCCCATGAGGAACCTCTGGGCCCCAGGCTCTGACTTGACTGACACTCTCACTGAGCGAGCGCGAGGACCGTGTCGTGGGAATCACAGCAGTGGCTCCCGGCCTGGCCCTGAGCTACCAAGGCCACCTCTGAGTTGGGGCAGCCCTCAGCCACGCATTGTCTATAATGGAAGGAAGGTAGCCAGGAGCTGCTGGCCTCAGAAGACCTCACAGTTCAGAATCCACGAGGCAACCAGGAGGCCTCCCCTTGCGAGGACTGCCTGGCCATGTCTCAGCTCACGGTGGCTCGTTCCCTGGCCAGATGTGAGCACACACACCCCGCCCCCCCCCCCCCCCCCCACCTTTACTGCCTTACTGGAAGCATAGCTCAAAAGGTTTTCAGTCTCTGTCTCCCTTCTCAAAGTTTCCATGGGAATCAGCATCGAGGGGGGGTAACTCCAGACATAAATGCCATCGATTTTCACTGGGGTTGGGGGGGAAGAGGCAGGGGGAGACCTCGGGAAGAGTGAGACTAGAGAAGAGGACCATGGGAGGTGTGGGCACCTCCAATTATTTTTGAAAACTCTCCCCAGGCTATCCATTTTTCCACCCATTCACTCTCAAATTAGCATGTATTTGCCTAGGAGCCCTCGACTCAACTCGTAGCCACAATAGAAAGCCTTGCCAGATGGGAAATAAATAACAGCAGGCCCCCTCCCGGTGAATGGGCAGCCCAAGACCCCAGAGGATGAGACAAGCCCCTGGGATCTGTTCTTTAGGAAGTCATGCCCGGGGAGTCATGAGAGCCCGTTCCCCTTTCCTCTCTTAGTGAATCATAGGTTGATTTCATGAGAACCAGTGATTCCCCCCACAATACCCCCCACCAAGACCTACCACCAAAGGCAGGTTCCCCGGATCGCAGTGGCTAAAAGTGACTGACTCATCAGAAGTCTCTGCGCCTGGGCCACGCTGATTCAATGAGCTTCAGCTCTGAGACCACCCCTCCCTCCTGAACATGTGGAAGGAGTTTGGGCCTCTGTTTCCAGCCATTCATAAGGCCTGTGTTCTTGCTCAGCCTCAAGGGCCCAGACTCAGCCCTGCCAGAGAAGTGGCAATCTTCATCGGAACTTTGTCGCTGAAAACAATCAGCAACCCCACCACCCATTTCCTCTGATGGTTTAGCCAGAGCAAGCAAACAGGGCCCTGGTCCTCACAGGGTGGCTGTAAGGATTAGATGAAACAAGTCCCTGTCAAACTCTTGAGCACAAAGGGCTGGCACACAGGAAGCACTCCCTAAAGGCTGCTGCTGCTGCTACAGTGGCTGTGGTTTTTGTCCTTGCTGTTTTCATCCTGAGTCCCAAGCTGTCTGAGGCAGGTGAATGTTTTACTTTCTTCTTACTTTTTCCCTGAAGCCACTCTTCTACACGACACTAGACACACTGCTGAGCATGCCCTGAACAGGGGGGTGGTGGGAGCACAGAGCCAGAAAGCATCAGACTACAGTAAAACGATCAGTTGTCAGATCTAACTTCTAAATGGAGCCAGGAATATTAGTGCTCGAAAAT